TACTTTGCTGGGCTTGGAGATTCCCAGGTGAAGCCAAGCTATGAATCTAGGCTGGCTGCTGTTAGCACCAGGTCTGGAACTCACTGAGTCCAGCTGTTGTTGACAGGATTTAGGAAGTTGTGAAGCAACATGTGAAGCATGAGCCAAGACCAGCCATTCATATGGAAAAGCCATTTAGGTGGGCTGGTAAGTTGGGTGGGTCAGAGACTCCAGGGATCTCCAAGTTGGGTCAGTGTTAGCTAGGTTGATGGAGCCTCAAATATGGCACCAGCCTGCCAGCTCTGTGGGGAGAGGGTTTGGAAGAGGGACAGTGGCCACTGCTGGCCTTGATGCCAGACACTTCAGCCTCCCCCTGCAAGCCACTGGCGCCCCTCAAGCTACCACCCTGGTGCTGGAGCCCAGAAGGGGTGAGTGAGTAGGTGAATCTGTGTGTGGGTTAAGAGAAACTCCTTAGAGTTCCAGCACTTTCCTCCACTGACTTAATCCTCACTGGTTTATAAAGTTAGTTCATCAGTTTGCTTTGGTGATGCCTTATATTTAAAATTCTTTATTTGTGTCTTGCTTTTTCCCCTTGTGTCAAAAGCCATCTTTGCTTATTACCAGTCACTAAATGATTCTAGACTCTGAATACCTGACCTACCTGACAGGGGCCAGCAAGCTATAGGAGTTTTGTTGTTTGAGAATGGTACATGTAGCACCTCCTTATCTTCAGTTTCTCTTTCATGGTTTCAGTTACCCATGGGCAACCATGGTCTAAAACTACTACATGGAAAATTCCATAAATAATTTATAAGTTTTAAATTGCGCACCTGAGTAGTGAGATGAAATCTCTTGCCGTCCCTTTCTGTCTAGCCCAGGACATGATTCATCCTTTCATCTAACATGTCTGTTCTGTAGAGGCTACCTGCCCATTGTGTCTTAGTAGCCTTTTTAGTTATTCTATCAGTTATCAGAGACAGAGAGACGACATTTACATAACTTTCATTAGAGTATATTACTAAATTATTTTATTTTGTTATTTGCCATTGTTAATCTATTAGTGTGCCTAATTTATAAATTAAACTTTATCACAGATATGTATGTATAGGAAAAAACTTAGGATATACAGGGTTCAGTACTATCTGCAGTCCCAGGTATCTGCTGGGGGGTCTCAGAACATATCCCTTATGAATAGGGGGGGATTGCTGTATATTTTAGGGTGATGTTTTTTGGCTGCATGTAAAGGAATACTTCAATTAAAGTATCTTAAACAATACTAGTTTAACATTTGAAATTACATTGCCATAAGTCTAGGACTAAATGCTTTCAAGATTAATTTAGAGGCTCAATAATATGTAAGACTCTGTGTTAGCTTTTCTTTCATTTTGTTGGTTTTCTAATTATGATGGGAAGGGTGGTAGTTTCCCTTTTTCTCTGTCTCTTATCAGAAAGAAAACAATACATGTTCCCACATGTAAATTAAGTATACAATAGACATTTCATAAAAGAAATACAAATGGTTAATAAGCACATAAGAGAATTTTAACCTCAATAAGACTCTGGGAATGCCTGATTTAGTTCTGCGTTTTTGCTGGGAATTATCAAACAGTGCCTTGGTGAACCCAGGTAACACATTCTTGCATTAGGATAGATGTTAAGAGAGACTACCTCAAAGTACAAGGTCTCTCCAGAAGGTATCCAGCTATGTAATATGAGAAATAGAGACATTTACTGGAGAAGATACGAGATACAAAAAACATTGCACACAGGAAGACCCTGCAGTTTTTTTCAAGGAACCCATCTGCTTTAATGACTCACATATCAGACCTTGGACACTGTGTTGTTTTCATGACAGGTGTCCTTTGGGAAAGTCTCTGCTTACATTATTCGTGAAAAAGTTGTGGTTTTTCTACTTCTGAGTTATGTATTTTGTTTGAGAAGATCTAAAATGGTACTTTAAGAATGTTGGGTAGTCTTTTCTTTATAAATGTCTCATAGTCCCCCAAGTGTGTATTAAGCCTACCAGTATAGTCAGGGTGAAACTCATTTATTCAGGCTTTAGACTTGAACAGCAAAACAACACTTATAAATAAAAACCAATAAAAATATTTTGATTTAGCCCTGGCTGGTGTAGCTCAGTGGATTGAGCGCGGGCCTGCGAACCACACGATCGCGGTTCGATTCCCAGTCAGGGCACATGCCTGGGTTGCAGGCCGGTTCCCTGCAGGCCAGTTCCCAGCAGGGGACGCACAAAAAGGCAACCATACATTGATGTTTCTCTCCCTCTCTCCTTCCCCCACTTCCCCTCTAAAGATAAATAAATAATAAAATATTTTAAAAAAATATTTTGATTTAATATAGCTTTATTATCTAATACTTCTGTGTACTATGCATTTGATTTTCATAACCATACATGATAGACAGTTTTATTTTTCTGGTTGTACAGAGAAGAAATATGAGACCAAGAAGAATTTAAGTAATGGTCAGGTTTTGAATATAGTCTGTCAGAGTGCAGAGTCTGAGTGCCTAACTGGGATAATAAATCATCTGTGCTAGGTATTCAGCTCCTAAAATTATCTTTAAAAATAAAAGGGGAAACAGATTTTTTTCATTGTCATATCATGGAAATCAGGACAAGAATTGTGTAGCCCAGGCCTCCTGAGGAAGTGAAACAAAAGTCTTCAAGAACCGAGGCAGTTTCTGCTACCATTTCTTTCTCTCTCCGTCCCCATTTCCATCCTCTTTTATTGTTTCTCTTTCTGTGTGTTGGCTTTCTCTCTTCTCTTTATCACCTGGTCCACCCTGACTGCCCATAAAATGGTACCTTCAATACCAGTGTCTTTATCACCTTAAAAATCTAGAGCCATGACCAGCTGTACCTTTTCATGATCTGAGTTACAGTTTCTGGTGAGATAGAATTCTGTTGTCCTGATCAGGCTCTGGATTGTTTTCTTTTGGGTCACTGTCCATCTTTTGATCACATAGCCATGGCCCTGGGTGATAGGGTGAGGGAGCTGTGACTGGACACTTTCAGGGCTTCATACTAATTGATAGATAGGTTCTCAGGAAAAGTGGTATAGGCTGAATAGAGTCCCAAAATATGTATATACAGCATGTCCTCAAATAATGTCATTTCATTCAAGCTAATTTTGTTATAATGTTGATGAGATGCCATAGGAGCTTAACTTTTGTTTATATCAATTAGCTTGTGGTAAAGTTGATTTCATTATACATCAAATTGTTTAAAGTCACAGAACCTACTGATGATGTTAAGTGAGCACTTACTTTACTAACTTGTATCAGGTAATATTAAAGTAGTATCATAAATACAAAATATAAGTACAAGGCAATAACATAAAAATAAAATGTAAACAACAAAAACAGAACAAAAATAACAGCACAAATACAAAGTACAAAATAATAATGGGCACAAAAAACTGAAATTAGTTGATCATTTAAAAGCTACCTTCCTGAAACTGAGTATGTAATTTTTTTATGGTACTAAAATAATTTAATTAAAACAATAACCTGTGCGAATGTTTTTGAAAAGAATATTCAATAATCATTATTTATTGAGCATTCTTTTATTTGTATTGTCAGTAAAGGTTTGCCTGTAGTGAGTTTGAGTAAGTGAATATGCTTATTAAGGAAGTCTACATTATTTGATTTACATTACTTGAAGATTTACTGCATAGAATTTAAGATTCTGCTTTTTGATTTCTTATTTCATTATTTCTGTGAATAAGAAATATTTGTCATTTGTCGTGCATTTTGAGTTATTGGTGACTGCTTTAAGATTTTCTCTAGTAATTTTTTACTGAAATGATTTGCTCAGTATTACACAGCTATTGAATTTTTTTTGTTTGTTTTGGTAGAGAACAGCTCTATTCAAAAGTAAAAGTTGGTCTTTTTTCGGAAGGTGATGTTCATTGTCAGTATGTAAAAGTCAGGAAATTATGCCTCTGGGGATTTTAACTTTCTGCATCGCGGATTCTGAAGTAATCTTTTGTATTGTCTTATATTTTTGGAATCAGAAGAAAATCAATAAAAATGCCAAGTAAAACAATACCAAAACAAGAAAAATCAGAAATATTGAAATATAAAGAGCATAATAATTTTAAAAAACTATTAGTTTTAATTAATTAGATTAATATATTATTAATATGGGGGAAGTGTGAAGAGATAGGACCTAAAAGACTGTCAGGGACAGGATTGGGAATGGTGTGTAAGCCATAAAAGGAGTTTGCTTTTTATCTGTAGACAGTGGAGAGCAATTGAACAATTTTGTATGATGAAGTAATATAGAGGAGGTTGGTTTTTAGCAAAGAAAGTTTTAGTGCTTTTTCTTTATACTATTAAAGTAAGATGAACAGAGGGTCTACTTCAGTTTTGTAAAATACTTTAGTACTAAATACTGTAATTGAATGCCTGTCAGTTGTAAGTCATAGCTTAAAAGATAGGAGAATATAGAAATTAGATGCAGTAATTGAGATTAGTACTTAGTGTGTTTTGAAACAGCCCTGCCATAAGTAGTTGGTACAAATGTATAATATTGAGGTAGTATATTATGCTATTGAGCACAACCAAATTGCTTCCTTGCTTTGCATTATATTTTCAATCTTGGGCAAAATACTTAACTTTTTTGAGACTTGGTTTTCTAATCTATAAATTGAGGCTACATAATACTTAACGTATGGAACTGTCATGGAGTTAAATGACTGTGTGTGTGTGTTTTGTTATAGATATGTAGACATAATTATTCAATAATGTAGACTACTAGTTCCTGGCAAATGATGAACATTAAATATGTACTTTTTCTGCTGCTGTCATGATTTGTAGTAGAAAGCATTTTATTAAATAAATTATATAAACGTATAAGAATAATGTGAGTATAAAGTATCAAAATGTATCGGTTACTATCTGATAATCGCCACCCACTGGATTTCAATTTTTTTTCTCAGTTTATAGAGACTGAAGTAATGAATTTAAGTGTATTTAACTTAGTGTTTTCTCTTTTATAGTTTATCAGGGAAGATATGAAATATAAAGATGCTACTAAAAAACACAGCCATCTGCACCGAGAAGATAAGCACATAACTGTTGAGGATTTGTGGAAACGATGGAAGACATCAGAAGGTGAGATGATACAGTGCCCTAGATCCCTTCCCTGCTTCTCTGCTTGCTTAGCCATCGTTAACTCACTGATTCTGTATGATCTTACAAAAGATCAAAATAACATTTCTGCGTGGATATTTACATTTTAGTAAATAATTATTTTATCAAATAAATATATAGATTCCAGAGTTTTCTTTTTAGTTATGAAGAAGAGTTTCTAAAGTGTTTAGATGACAAGGAACTTGTAAGCTTTTCCTTAAATAAACCCTTAATAAAGTTTCTAATATTTCCATGATAAAGTTGTGTAATTTATATTTTTATTTCTTTTTTTTAAGTCCTCAGGCTTACTTACAGACAGTAATTGTTTAGGGCAGGAAAAGCGTATTACCTAAAACCTCAACTTGATCCCTAAAAGTGGAAAGCTACTTAATTTATTTTAAAAGCCTGTTAAGGTTATTATTACTTTTTTGAGTAACAGAGTCAACCAAACTGTCTAATTAGTTTCTGTGCTTTTACCAAAGTCAAAGAATTATGTTGTAGTCAAATAAATATGTTTTTCTCTTCCACGTTTGAACAATAAAATGAAATTAGAAGGAAGCTGGAACAGATTACCAAGTAGGAGTATAAAGAAATAATGAAGTTTACTACACTGTCAATGACAATGTTTGGAAATGGGAAAAGTACAGAAAACTACTCCAGCAACACTCAGTACTTTTATCAGTGTAGAAGACTTATAGCTTGCTTTTATATATATATATATATATATATATATATATATATATATATATATATATATATATATTTTAGTTTTTTAAAAGAGGCATGTGTTGCACATACTAGAAAGGAGGTAAAAACTACCACTAACTTCAGTGAAAGATACATAGACTTTAGAAATTTGTCTCTGCATTTCCCCTCCCCATACCACTTTTAAATAATATAAACTTGAATAAGAATAGGAATAAATGAATATAAATTGCATCAGGGAAAGGCTCAGGTAGAAAACTCAGAAGGACTGCATGAAATATCATGGTAATATGTAGATGCTACGGAAGGAATTGGAGACTTATTATTGCTACTAGTATATTTTAGATTTCATGTATCTGATGAGTTGAATGGAACTCACTGAAACATTTTTTCTAGTAAAGGAAAGAAGATTTGACCATTTTTCATTACTTGATATGCTACCACCTAGTTCAGTCCCCATGTCTTGCCTGGGTAATTGCAGTAGCCACTTAATGGTCTTCCATATACTTGTGCTCTGCTGTAGTCTGTTCTTCATTTAGCAGAGTAACTTACTTAAAACATAAATCCTATCTGCTCAGTACCCTACAGTGACTCAGAGTAAAAGCTTCTATGTGATCTGCCTTATACTCCCACCCTCTTATCTCTCTTCCTGTCCATCTTCCTCACTCACTGAGCTCTATTGGAGTTGGACTCTTTGCTATTCTGCAACTGCAGAAATGCAGACACCCTCGTGGCTGGCTAACTTCCTTACCACTTTTATTGAAGTCTGTCAGGGCTATTCTCTCCAGGCCCACCCTGACCCCTCTATTTAAAACTGCAGACCACACCCCCCACCCCTGTTTGTTGTCATTCTTGATCCCTGTTTCTCAGCTTGATACTTTTACCCCTGTATTGTGCATTACCTTCTAACATATCATAAAATTGACTTTTTATTGTGTTTGTCTCCTTTCTTTCTCTCCCCTGTCCCCAAGAATGTAAACTAGGGTTCTCTATCTATTTTGTTTATTAATGTATCCCAAATCCAAGGGGACTCTGTCCTTTAACCTCATTTTGCTTCTTATCCTAGTAAGCATGGTGAGATCTTTTGTGATCTAGGAGAGTCACAAAAGATTCTCCTTGTTGTTGTTGTTGTTTTTTAAGTTTAAGGCTTTTTCAAATTGAAAAGCCTCTTAATCTCCTTTTCCCTATTTTTTTCACCTTGATTTCCTCCCCCTAAGATTTTACCATTATGATAATGAGAAGATTTCCCCCTAAGTTTCCAAAGAGTAGTCCTAAATTATCTAATTTCTGCTTCCTTTTTGCTGAAGCCCATCTCTTTACATAATCTTTTTAGGGGATTAGTGTGTGGGAGGAGTTGTTTTAGTACTCTTAACTAAAACAGCTTCATGAAGGGGAAGTAAGAGAAGTCTGATAAAATAAACCTCTTCCAGAAGCTTTACAGTAACCTAATTCTAAGTAGCAGAGTAGGTCTGTCTAGTATGTGCCAAGCAGACATTGGAGCCTGGGTATTAAAGATGAGTTAAACGTGTCTCTGGGATATAAGGAGTAAATAGCTCAGTAGGAAGACAAAGTACATGATTATAATATATGGTAAGTATAATAATAGAAATAACTGTAGGATATAGAGATAGCTCACTGAAAGGAGTAATTAACTCTCTGAAAATTGTGTTTGAGATAAACTGAGGGTTGAACAGGAGTTCTGGAAGGGGATAATGAGGTAGACCACAAACAGTAGCCCTCTCATGGCTCCTTCTTTAGTTACCTGAACATTTGCTAGAAGTGGAAGTGGAGGTGAGATACGTACTTTAGGAAGTACGTGGGCTTTCAAGCTATACAAATTTAACTCCTGGCTCTTTTATTTATGAACATTAAGACATCGGGCACATTTTAAAATACACTTACAGAGTGCAATTCTGGTGTACTATAAATGGGTAATGAAGAAAAAGTGACAGGCATAATTCCTGGCAATACCTGGCAGGCAGTAAATGTTCATTTATCTTTATAATAAAACTGAGTAAACCAAAATGTTCAGCTGCATTTAAAGTTTTGTAAGGTTTTAGATTCAGTCTTAAAATGTTAATAAAATGAACAGGATTCTATCAGGCTAAATACCATTGTAGTATGTAATTTCCTGGAGGGTGAAATGCACCCAAGATCTTGGTGGAATGTTGTCAGCTGATGAAAAGTAAATTCTGTTATGCAGAAATTGGTCCTGATTTCACTAAGAAAAATTTCAATGTGACCTGAATGTACTTTTTTTGGTTTCTAAAGAGAATGCTTGGTCAGTTTGCACATGGCAACAGTCCAGTGCCAGTGAAAGCCATTTTATAAACTAGTATTAGATTTCAGATAGATTTTGAGAAACTGGATATGCTGTTAGAGTTGCTGAATGTAATTAAATACATAGTGAAGGAAAATGTAGATAAAAAATTATTGGTTATGTATAAGATTTAGGGATCATGGAATATAAAAACTGATTAATGTACTGTTTTTAAAAAGATAACTCATTGGGTTAAATGTTATAACGTGACAAGTGTGAAGTAATCTTTCCATCTTGTTCAGCAGTGGGTCTTACCTTACCTAAGGTCATTGTGTAATTTTAGGCTACAAATTGAATAGGTATTTTGAAATTTTGCACAAGATTTAAATTTTTTTGGATTAAAAATTTAAAGTAACTGCTCTGGTTGGGTAGCTCAATTGTTTAGAGCATCGTCTGCATATACCCCAAGGTTGTGGTTTGATCTCCAGTCAGGGCACATATAGGAATCAACCAATAAATTCATAGTAAGTGGAACAACAAAAATTGATCGATGTCTCTTTCTTGCTCTCTCCCTCCCCCTCCTTTCCTTCCTCTCTCCCTCTAAAATCAGTAAATACAATTTGAAAAAATAAATTTAAAGGAACTGAAATCGTCTGAGAGATGAGAGAGGTAGGCATTTTAATAAAGGATGTTTTCAAGTTCATGTAAAGCTTAGTCAGAGAGAAAATGACTATTTTCTTCTGTTTAGGAAAATGAAAATGTAAATGTTATGTAAAAGAAAATGTAAAGGAAGAAGTTCCTGGATATGGATGTTAAGTTTTTATAAGTAAGGAGGATTTATAAATACTTTCTTTATATAGATTCTTAATGTTCATAAAGATTTTCTTCTGGGTGTGAAAGTATAATTGGATTTTTAAATATTGATAAAATGTACCAGGTTTTTGAGATGTTATGCTGTTGGTTATAGTGAGACTGGAATAAAAAAGTAAAAGGATCAGTGTATATTGTGTAGCATTATCAGAAGAGTAACTCAAAATATAGGCCTTACAGACAATAAGGTAGCATTATCTTTGTGATGCCAACAACACAGTATTTATTTGCATATTTACAATATGCATAGCAGTCACTGTTGTAGGACAGATGAAAGTATAAGATAAGGCCTTTCTTCTCAAGAAGTTCATATTATTATTACATGATCACAGATAAGATGGTAAACAGAATTCAAGAAGTTTTGATTAAATACTAGGTAAGTGGTACTGTTAGAGTCAGTATATGTGAGATAAGATTAAATTGCTGTTATTAATATTTGTCTTTTGCTATTAATATGTAGTATTTTTTGTGTCTTAGTTTCATCATGTGATAAATGGGGTAAAAGACACCTATCACATCAAATTGTCGAGGATGAAGTGGATTTGTACATGTAAAGTGCTTAGAACAGGGCCTAATACCTACCAAGTACTCAATGACTGTCTCTTGTTACTCTTGTTCTGTAAGACAAATGCGAACATGCCACGTGTAGGGAATGTTGGAGGCTGACGTTGCAGGAAGAGGCATCTGAGTTCAGAAGTAGTAGAAAACAGGGTCAGTTACAGAGGGAGACCAGACTATTGATGCTTAAACCTGTGGGACTGCTCCAAGAGTGGCAAGTAAGATTTCACTTATATACCAACGCTTCCAAGTGATAGTGGTTGTCTAGAGCACCATATTAAGGAAGCTTGATCTACGTCTGGTCTCAGTAAGTAGCAAAAAAAGGATATATATAGTAGAAATTATTGGTTAGCAGTATTTACTATGTGTGTGAGAGGTGATAGCATATTTTGGCAATTTTATCATCATTGGATTAAGTATTAGGAGCTATTACAGCTTCTTGTTTTAGTAAGTCCGATATCAAAGTTACAGGAAAATGAATTCACTATAGGTAGGAAGACTAGCTTTGAGCTTAATATAATGTGGGTTTGAGTGGGAAGAATGAAAAATTATGAATTCTAAGAAATGTTTTAAAGGAACATTTGACTCA